TGATTCGGTTGGAGATCGAACCCGCTACCTCCAGCAAACGAGGCAAGCACTCTAACCACTAGGCCACCGGAACGGTCCTGATATATGCATGGATAGAATGTACTGGTGATAGGACCAATCAGGAGTCGCTGTCTCCCGCAAACAAAATTTGAATGTGAAACAACCTGAATGTTTGCCATGGTACCTTTTTCTGTACAATTAGGAGTATAACAAGACAAGAGACCTCCGGCGCTTGCCACACTCCCCCTCTGGGCGAACACAGGAGACATTCCATCCCTAACGACATTCTTAAGCCACAATCCCACATACCTCTATTCCTTAATATGCCTTATATATATATATGTGTGTGTGTGTGTGTGTGTGTGTAAATTGACATATGGATGTATATATGCATGGCAATAGGTACATCGGGTGCTTATCAGGTATGTAAGAAGGTAGGCAGATATGTAGGTAGGTAGTTTTAAGGGTAGTTATGTTTTCATATATGCATATTTGTATACATTTTTCTACTACACTTATATGACTTGGTAGAAGGACTTAATTTTTATGAAAGATCTCTTATATAACATCTGTTGACATCGCAAGGTTTTTGATCAACAATGCGATTATTATTTATTATATACACAGTTTACATATATATATATATATATATATATATATATATATATATATATATATATATATATATATATATATATATATATATATATATATATATATATATATATATATAGCAGAATATATGGACAGGTCGGGTTCTCGAACCAAATTCAAAACATTCACCATTAAGAAAATTATATTTGTACATAAACTTCCAGATTGAAATGCACCAACATAAAAAGAATTCGTCTAGTTTCCGTTGCAGTTTAAAATGGAACATATGTATAGTTATCAGGCAGTGAGCTGAATAATACACTTAACCCTACGGGGTACATTTTTACTTCCTTGTTAGGTAAGTTAAAAAGAAGTGCACACGTACAGATAGTCTTCCAATTCATGATGTTTAAGTTCAATTCATGAAAGGTAAAGTAAAACTTACAGACAGCTAAATCGTGAACAACAATGAGCAACCAGCTTCTATTTCACATCGTAGTTTCTGTCGTCATTGACCATGGGCTAGGTAAGTCTAAACCAAGACGTATATCTCTACTTGTATACAACGCACATGAGTGATCTTGAGGTGACTTAATGCTCCATCATGTCAGCTAAAAAACTTTTGTATATTTGTACAGGACAATGAATGGGATATTCGTAAAACAGTCTCGTTGCTGCGTTAGATAGAAATTGAATGTTGTTGTGTTTAGACTTAACAACATATTTCAGCAAACGATAGGCTATACATGGCGGCCAGTATAACTGGTAGTGATAGAACCTTGGGAAACACGCGACGAACAACCGACCCACGGAAATCTACGGACAACTTTTCTCACAAGATATATATATATATATATATATATATATATATATATATATATATATATATATATATATATATATATATATATATATATATATATTGGATATTACATGTATTACTATTGATAATAAGACCTAGTCAGTAAGATAATCAAATTAACTCACTGATTTTGTGAATTGCTATATATATATATATATATATATATATATATATATATATATATATATATATATATATATATATATATATATATATATATATATATATATTTATATATATATATATGGTCAGAACGAACTCGAACGTTGACGTGTACATATATATATATATATATATATATATATATATATATATATATATATATATATATATATATATATATATATATATATATATATATATATATATATATATATATATACACGTCAACGTTCGAGTTGGAAAGCTTTTGTGTTCCGCTGCTTTGGGCATTTCAGTTCGATTAACATTACTCGTTAAAGTCAGTAAGAATAATTGTGTGCGTCAAAGTTCCATTTCATATGAGGTAGTTGATTGTGAACTGATAACATGAAATGAACTAATTAATCTGGAAAATTCGCTGAAATCTCTGTTAGATGGTGGACCAATTGTTATCTTAAGTACCATTTTCAAAAAACAATATGTTGTCAGTTGCTATATCCGATTTAAGTGGTCACAATAAAATGTTTTCGTAATCGTCTTTTTTTTTTCATTGGTCGTGTGTCTGTAGGTAAACTGTTGTGTATATTACCCGAACTTGATATTCATTTAGGAATCCTGTTATATTTACTCACTCCGATATTTCTTTTTTAATGATTCCAAATATTCCAATAGCTGTCAAGGTTGAAATCTAAAACATGACAAGTAAGAAAGTGAAAGTACTTATTCTACCTTGTTTGGTCAGTTCGCTATCTAACATCAACTGTCTACCTAACATCTATGTTCCTATCTATTTGTTCTAAAAAGCAAGCCTCTAATTCCAGAAAAATAGCATTTTCGCTCTGAAGGAGAATGATTACTGATGGGTCAAATAATTATGCTACCAGCAAAATTGAATCTGTGAAGCAATCATTTTATGTCATTTCTACCCTTAGGTTTATGATGCTTTTTGTTTTGTCCATATTTATGTTCTTTCCAACAAACTATGGAAAATGATGTACTAACAGCTGCCTTCTTTGGTTCTCACCATTCAGAGGTTAGAGTTAGGACTGGTCGGCCTAATGTCAGGATATTGTGACTGGGTGTGACATCGTGCTACATGTCTGCGCAATGATGCCCCAGCGCTAGAAATCACTATAATCTGCCACACTGCAGATATAGTAGCGATGACTGAAAAATTGTTAAAGTTACGTTAAAAATCATAATCACATCTCATCACATCACATAAAAGATTGGAAAGTTAAAATAGAGAATGCAACGAGGACATATAATATTGCAATTAAACAAGTTAATAAACAAAATAATAGGAGAATTAAATTTTCGATCATGATGAAATTTAGGAAAACTTACAAGACAAACCATTAACATTAACGCTATAAATTCTAGTTGTAGACACCATTGACTTATCCACAACGGTTGTACCAATCCTTTAATGTAAACGCGTGAGTAAAATTGTAACATTTTGTCAAGGCATTTATTGTTCTTCTTGTGGTTTGTTCCTTTCTGAAAATAAACTTTATGGATATCCTGTGAAAACAGGTGCAACAAATTTCGAAAACGTTATCGAAGAGAGAGAGAGAGAGAGGGTGGGTGGGGGAGGGCGGGGAGGAAAACAAACAAGGATGTTGGTTACCTTCATCATTGCGATAATTTCAAGAGTTACGGACATTAAAGAGTACCTTATATTGATGATAGGGTTTAATACAAATCTATGGCAGTAGCTCGATTTCTTAAAATTGTTCTTGTATCTTAAGATACTACCCATTTTGTGACTTTGTCTATTAATAGCAAACGATAATGTTACCACCAAAGGATAATCCAATTAAGCATTTTAGCCTGCTAGTGTTGAAACTTAACATCAATGTTCTCATCTGTAATATAACCTTTCTGTACCAAAATTAACAGCTCTGTTAAGATTTTATCGGTGATTAATACTGCGGTGATACTCTCTGTAATACATATTATGCTTAAAATTTGTGTTACAAAAATACATACTACATAATTCACTGATTTAATCTTGCATTTCTTTCACTTATTTTGTTGTAAACTTAAGTCCTGCTGGTAAGATCATGTGTATCAAATTTCTCATTCATAGATCTGTATGTTAATTTCGCCTTCCATGGAAACTAACCCAAACCACGAATGGACTTTGCGCCAGGCAAGTTGTTGTTGTTGGGCTTAACACTATTTTTCAGCACACGATATGCTATTCATGGCGGCCAGTATTAATGGTGGAGGAAGAAACCGGGAAATCATCGGAAAGAACCACCGACCCACGAGAAGCTACTGGCAAACTTTCTCACATATCCACATTCGCCGAATCCTAGACTCGAACCCACGCAGACAGAGGTGAGATGGCAGTGATCCGTAACGGACAGCGCTTTAGACCACTCGGCCACTCTTGGCCCCCCAGGCAAGTTAAACTTTCTTATTGAATCAAATTATATTTTATCTGGCTTAAAACGGTTACTACCACTATTACTGTGTGTTTAATTCTTTCCTTTCATGAATATAGAATTTAGTTCGGGTTACAAAATCTGGTTTTTGCCACAGCACCAATGTTATAATTGTAAATCCAAACCGTTTCTACAACGATTGAACACTTGTCATTTTGGGTATGAATGAAAGTTACTTTTGTAAATAAAGAATAAATATGAAACTTTTAACCAGATATAACTAACTTCGATACATTTTGAAATGTTTAATGCGAGTAGAAAGTACCAAGGTCTTTTTCATGCCATCCACAAATCTCAGTTCCATCAATTCTGCAAATATCTCAAGTAACACCATGCTCTATTTCTGTATAGGATTCCAGCGTTTAATAGGTTGAAAGTGAAATATTGGTTTTCATTGAAATGAATATTGGTTTCTTTAATTATTGTTGTTTTGGGGATTTTGACTGCATGCAGATTTTGTACTTGCTTTCCTTCTCGCATTTGTTATCAATATGATGTCTATTATTACAATTTATAAACATAATGCAGATCGTTTGTTTTTGTGTGCGTATATTGTGTTTCTATTTAACATTTATTGCATATTCGTACGAATTTATTATCAGATTACCCTACATAATCTTAAAATTTATCCTCCGCATAAGCCGGGGGTTTGTTACTAGACCGTCACGTAAAATAGTTCACTAATCGGTTGTTTTTGTGTGCGTAGATTGTGTTTCTATTTAACATTTTTTGCATATTCGTACGTGTTTATTCTCAGATTTCCTTACATAATCTTGAAATCTATCCTCCGTATAAGCCGTTGATTTGTGACTAGACCGTCACGTAAAGTAGTACACTAATCGATGTTTTGCTTGCCTTGTGTCCATGACATCGAGCTTATAAACGATATCACAGAAAGTCCCTTGCCAGTGTTATCTAGCATTTAGAATTTCAACTCTTTTATCAATGATGAGATTTATCATGATCTTAGATTCTGCGTCAATTAAATATATTATCGCCATGATTGTATTCAAACACATATTG